AGGAGGGGTGTCAGGAGGGAGGGGTCAGGATGGGGGTCAGGAGGAGGGAGGGTCAGGGGAGGGGTCGGGAGGGGGTCATAATGGGGGCTGTCATGCTGAGTGGGTGCCCGTTCACTGCTCCCCTCAGAGATGAAGGCCACCCAGGGGCAGGGGCCCCCACTTCCCCACCCCAAAGCCCCCACACCCTCCCTTCCCTGCTGCTGCGTGAAGCCAGTCTGGCACAGGGTGGCGGCTGCCTGGGATGGGGGGAGAGAAGGGCCGCCAGGAGGCCCTGAGTTTAGTCCCCACCTGCCCCAAGGCTGATGCACCTGGGCCGACAAAAGCAGCCTTCTGGGAGGCCCAGGATTGGGAGAGGCCCAGGATTGGGGGCGGTCTGCTCCCTGGTGAGAGGCAGAAGCCAGACACATGCGGGCACTGGGTTTGTTTCCCTTTCTTCACCACTTTTGTTCCTGCAACTTCAGGCAAGGTGGGGCTAGCTCTGGGCCTCAGTTTCCCCATCTTCTCAAAAAAAGCTCACAGAGCTGAGTGGTTGGGTAGGTAATCCCAGCTACTCAGGGGGCTGAGATCTGAGACTCAGAGTTTGAAGACAGCATAGGGCAGGAAAGTCTGTGAGATGCCTCTGATCTCCAGTGAACCACCAAAAAGCTGGAAGTGGTGCTGCGGCTCAAGCAGTACAGCGCCAGCCCTTGAGCAGAAAACATGAGCTCAGGGACAGGCACCCAGGCCCGAAGTTGGAGCCCCAGACCTGGCACAGGGACACTCGGACAGCTTGCAACAGCTCGCCTTGGATGGGGCTGGGGATGGGAATCGGTCCCCTGCCGTGGCTGCCCGTCCTTCTAGCCGGATGCCAGGAAGGGGGAGGGGGCCTGGCCGGTGAGAGCCCCCCATGCCCCCTCCAGGCTGGTGCCCCAGCCCTGGCCCCTGGCTTTCCGGGGACAGGATGCAGGCCCTGCCCGGCCTGCCGTCCCACCCTGCGTGCTCTGCCTCCAGACCCTGGGGTGCTGGTTTTGGGGGCCCCGCCCGGCCCAGATGGCAGGGACCTGGTATCCTAGGAAGGCCTTAGGCCCTGCAGGAGGAGGGAAGCGGGGGGGGGGTTGAGATGGAACCATGCCCCCCCCCACACCGCCCTTGTCCATTGTGAGGACAAGAAAAGAAGGATTGTGTGGGCCAGTGGGGCGGGCGGGCGCCAACATGCCCAGCGCCTGCACGCCGTGCCCTGGGGTGGTCGCTCGCGTGCCCCCCACATCTGTCTTCCCAGCCCCGTGTCTCCCAGCCTCCATGCCTCCCCCCCTTGTCCTTGTACACCCCGACAGGCCACAGCCTGATCCACATCCTTCTCCCCCTGTGCCCTGCTGGGTCCAGGGCCTGCTTCTAATCTCCATCTGTCCCCCACCTCCAGCTGGGAGCCTAATTCCCCTGCCACAGCTAAGCCAGGGGACCCCAGTGCTGAGCCACCACCCCTGCTCCGTCCTGGTGTGTGGGGGGGATTTGCACCTTCCCCGCCCCCCCCCCCCCCGTGAGCCCAGGGTCAGGGCGTCGGACACAGCCCCGGCTTACACTGGGCCAGGCGAGCGATGCGGGCGTCCAGAGTGCGCGGCGGGCGGCGCAGCGGGGCCAGCGCGGGCCCCAGCCGGTGGCCGAGCAGGTGACCCTCGCGACACAGCCACACGGACAGCACGGAGCTGCAGATCATGGAGACCAGGGCTGCCGCCTTCCAGCGCTGCATCGTCAGCCTGCACGGAGGGGACGGGATGGGACGGTCAGCAGCCCCGGCGGCGGCAAGTGGGGCGCGGGGGCCCCAGCTTTGAACACCACTCCGCGTGCCCGGCGATCAGTAACCACACAGAAATGATTCATCGGGGAGCCGCAGAACACGGGGTGTGGAGAGCACTGCCAAGGTCCCGGCGGGCCCCGTGCCAGGGGTAACCAGCGGGGAGCCGCCCCATCTGGAGGGGTCCCCCAGTGTTTTCCCGGGGAGCTGATGGCAGAGTCTGGAGTTGAAAAAGCAGGCGGGGTTGGACAGAGGTCTGACAAGTGGCGTTTCAGGCCGAAGGAACAGTGCAAAGGCCCTGAGGCCTGAGGAACAGAGAGGAAGGGAGGGAGGGGGTTCCAGCAGGTGGCGCTGAGAGGCAAGGGGGGGGGCGGCGAGCTGGCACTGCAGGCCGGAACCAGGGCCTGAGGCTGTTGTTCCCTCTGGATTCATGTCTTGAGCGCCAGCCCTCCCGCCCATTGTGGATGGGCAGGGGCGGGTGCCTCCCCTGCTCCCCAGCCTCCACACTCCCATTCTCCTCCAGCCTCATCTGGGAGGTTGCCTCCTCCGAGAAGCCTCCCCAGGTCCCCCTGCAACACGCTGAGGTGACTCCTGCATTCCGCACGCAGTCGGTGCTTCACAGCAGACGTGCAACCTCACACAATCTTACTGCACCCCCAGGGAGGCCTCGTATGGAGCGCGATGAGGGGTGGGTGCCTGGCGCTCATTACCCTACGATGTACATCCATTTGCATGTGATTTGCATGGGCCACACCCCCCGTGGATGCACCGGGCACCCTCAGTAACTGGAGGTATGTTCTAGGCACCAGCTGTGTGCCAGGGCTGAGCCCAGAAGAGGCCCTTGCTGAATCTCCAAATGGCAGCTGGGGAAACAGAGACACCCCAGGGGTAAAGGTTTGCTGCTATTAGCAGTCGTTGATATCATGGTTGCTATTACTGTTAGTGTTTATTGTTGCTTTATTATTGTTATGCAGGTATTTTATTTATTGTTGTGTTGGTGCTCTTTTACTCAAGCACTGAACCACAGCTCCACTTACAGCTTTTGTCTGATGATTACTTGAAGATAGGACTCACACAGACGTCCCTGCTCCGGCTGGCATTGAACTGCGATCCTCAGATCTCAGCCTCCGAGTAGCTAGGATGACAGGCGTGAGCCACAGGTGCCTGACCTACTTCTGGCATTTTTTTATTATCATTATCAGTCCTGGGGGTGGAGGCCACGCCTCCCCACTGAGCCACACCCCAGCCACACGGAGGGCTTTGTGGGCCTATAACCAGCATTCGTTAGACACCATCAGCACAGGACACGCACTTCTTCGGCGCCTGCTGAATGATTAGACAGAGAAGTGAATGAAGGGTGGTTCCGATGCCCCATGGGAGCGCGAGCCTGGCTCTCCAGCCTCTGATAAAGGCACCTTGTGCAGTGGGCAGTGACTGTGTACAAGCCATGGCTTCTGTCTTGCCTTCTCTAGCTCCAACACCTGCACGCACGCATCACCCCAAGCGTCCACCCATCCAGCATTTCCTGAGCCCCTGGAACATGCCAGGCCCCGAGTTCGCAGCTGAGGAGGAGGGTGGAGAACTCCCAAAGAAGTGTCAAAGAGTATCACCATTGCCAGGTGTGGTGGCTCCTGCCTGTAATCCCACCTACTCGAGAGGCTGACATTGAAGCCAGCCGGGGCAGAAAAGTCTGTGAGACTCTGGCTCCAATTAATCACACGCACAAAAAAGCAGGAAGTAGATTATAGCTCAAGTGGTAGAGTGCCAGCCTGGAGCACAAAAAACTCAGGTCCTGAGTTTGAGCCCCAGGACTGACACAAACACACACCCACAAACACAAGTGTGTCTCATGAGAGCTCAGGGCAACTGTGAGGACAGGGACAGGGCCGTCAGTGGGGCAGGGGTCTATGCAAAGGCCCTGGGGCAGGACAGAGGCTGCCACGTTGGAGGGGCAGGTAGCAGCCAGCAGCAACCCTGGTACTTGCTGGTGTCCACAGCCAGCTGTTTTGCCCACAGTGAGCACCCACGTTCTGCCCGGACTTCACATGGAAGAAGTCTTTCTGGTGTCACCCCATTAGGCTTGGCAGAGAAACCCCAGACCTTCTGGCCTCCCCCCAGCCTCCTGGTTGGGGGCAGCATGCCTCAGTTTCCCACTTGTACTGCAGCAAGCCTCAGGCTCTGATCACCTGGGTCTGGGAGGGCTTCCCCAGGGCCTGGGGGAGGGAGCCAGGGTGGCCCCCAGGATGGCCAGGTAGCCTTGGGAGCGGACCCCCCACCCTGAACTCTGGAGGGACAGGCAGCAGGGGCCAAGGGGCCCGCAGCGGCTGATAGGCCTGGGTAACAATGGCCTTTCTGTTTGGGGGTCACCCGACTGGTTTGTCCCTGGCACAGACCCCACCCCTAGCAGTGACGTAGACAGTGGCACGGGTGTGGCCAGGTCCGGGGAGGGGGGCCAGGTGTGTGGCCGGTGGCTGCATCCTGCAGGCTCAGGCCCGGCTCTCCCTGGTGTGGCCGGGGCCACAGCAGCCTGAGTAGAGCAAGGAGGCCCAGGGCCGCCCCACACCTCCAGCTGAACACCCCTGTGGGCTGAGGCTGGGAGACAGGAGAAACAGAGGCTCAAAGCCACAGCGGGGCCAGTGTCTCAGTCCGTGGAGAGGCAGCCAGGGCAGGGGTGTGTGAGCCAGAAAATGGCTCTGCCACCAAGACAGCTCGGCTTGGGGGGAGGGGGAGGGTCGATAACCTCTCTCTGACAGATTTCTGCCTTGGGGAGGCTTGCGTTTGCTGCCACGTTGCTCCAGACAAGAGAGGAAGAGGATGGCAAGGAGGGGCTGAGGGGCCCCCACTCACCTCTTCTAATCCAGAGAAAAGCCAGAATGGGAGCCTCGCTCCTCCTAAGCAAACTCCTATTCATCCTTCAAAGCCCAAGCTCCTACAGCACGACCACCAAGGAAACCTGAGTGTCCCAGCCAGCAGCGCTCAGTCCTGCCAGCCCCCTGCCCACGCTCCGCTCTGTGTTCTCTGGGAAGAGGTTTCCAGAGTCCTCTGGAGACTTCTGGCAGTGGCAGCCTTGCCTGTGCTGTTGCAGCGGGGTACCCTGCGCGCCCTCCCGCTCCCGTGACTCAGTTTCCTCACTTCAGTAGGAGCACGGAGGGAGCGACCGAGTCCCAAGGGAGCCTCAGGAAGGATCTGCAGGTGTTTGACCGCGCGTTTTGGGGGCTACAGACACCCCAGGAGCTGAAGAGAGGGTGTCTCGGGTGGGCGAGCACAGGACTCTAGATAGCGGAGGCCCCGTGGTGGCAGGAGACCCTGGCTAGCTGCTCCCCCCCACTCCCAGCCTCAGTTTCCCCATGTGTACAGTGGTCAGCCCAGGACCCCCTTCCCTTGTCTGGAGGGTGATTTAATTCAGCGAGATCCTGGGGGGGGGAGGCGGCTGGGAGTGAGGAGCTGCTGGGCGGGGCTTAAGCACATGTGCCTCGGTTTCCCCACAGGTGCCGACAGCCCTGGGAGCCGCTCTAATTCCTAGGGTAGCTCTGTTCGGCTGTGTCTCTCATGGCCCATGGGGGTTTCCTATGGTTCTGCTAATGGGGAAACTGAGGCTGCAGGGGGCGGGGCCGGGGGGTCGGAGGCCCATTGGAAACAGACGCCGTAACTCCACCCTGGAGAAGCCCCTGCTCCAGCCCTCAAGCAGCCCCCGCCCCCCCGAGGGCCAGGCCCCACCCCACGGTGGGGACAGAAAGGCGGCTGGGGCGGCCACAGCCTGCGACACACATCTGGGGGCAAACGAGGAACATGTGGCCCGCGCAGCTGGTTCTGATGCAGTGTGCGGGCGGGCGGGGTGGGGGCGGCCTCGCGTGGGGGGGCGCTTCACGGACACCCCCCCCAGCCCACCCTTCCCCTCCTGGCCAGGGCAGAAGAGCCACTCCAGCTCCCCGAGCATCTGGGCAGCTTGTCTCTACCAAAGTGAAGCTGAGGGGTGGGCGCCCGGGGGGGAGGGGGGCTGGGGGGGGCAGCCTCGGCCTTGCTAGGCACTGGCTAGGTACGAGATACGGGGAAACTGAGGCCAGGAAGGGAAGTGACTTGCTGATAGGCAGACATGTCAGGACGTGAGCACCTGGTGCTCATTCACACTGATTTCCACCTGGGGAAACTGAGGCTTAGAGACGTGAAGGATGGCTCAAAGCCACGCAGCCAATGGCAGCGCCAGGGCTGGGTTCTCTGAAGGGCTCTCAGGCAGCGGCCAGGGGTCAGGTCCTATGGAAGAGAAATGAAAGGCCACGCTGCTCTGCAGTGGCTCCGAGAGGTACACAGCTCCCCCAAAGACACACAGCACAGCAAGGAGGGTCCAGATGGCAGAGCCCAGTGTGCCAGGCTCTGCTCCTGACTCTTATAGAAAGCACCAGGGGAAGCTGGGCATCGGTGGCTCATACCTGTCATCCTAGCTACTCAGGAGGCTGAGATCTGAGGATCACGGTTCAAAGCCAGTCTGGGCAAGAAAGTCCATGAGACTCTTATCTCCAATGAGCCACTAGAAAACCGGAAGTGGCGCTGTGGCTCAAGCGGTAGAGTGTTCACTTTGAGCTGAAGAGCGCAGGGACAGTGCCCAGGCCCAGAGTTCAAGCCCCACGACTGACAAAAAGGAAAAAAAAAATAGAAAACACCAGGTGAATGCCAGGGCCAAGGGACTCGGCCATGCCAGACAAAAACCGAAATCGATGTGGCGTCTGAGACAGAACAGCACAGGCCGAGGTGGCCCACCAGGAGTGGGCTGGAGGAGGGGGGACTGGGAAGGTGTCCCAGGGGAGGGACCGCAGGCGCGGAGCCCTGGGGCGAGGGCTGCACCTGGAGCCTTCCTTTCCTGCAGCTGCCTTCCTGGCCCTGCTGCTGGCTGCGGTGAGGCTGGGCTGCCCGCCCTGCGGTTGGCCTGTAAAATTCCCACGTTGACCACATGGGGCGGCCCGGCTTGG